GTCGTGGCTATGAAAACATGCAATTAGAAGAATCTAGGTTATAAAATGACATTACGGTGACTGGCTGTGACGGGCTGTGACTTCCGACTGTACGCTGCGTGTTTTTCCAAGCTTTATGTCTAGAGTGTCCCATTTGAAATAAATGCACAGAATGATGTACTTCCGTAACAGAATTAGACACGTTCGGAAAAATTGATTACAAAAATGTTTTACTTCTTCCAAAATAATTGATTATAAAAATGTTTGTCATAAAAAAAGTTGCGAATATTTCGGTAAAATGATGTGTATTTCACTAGATTTTACAAAGAAAATATTGCCAGTTTTAAAATCCACATTTTAAAAAAATAAAATAGTTAAATCAACCACAAAATCTATGAAATAGGAAGAATTTTTGATTCAGTCAAATGGATTCTTGTACTTAGAACTGTAACTGTAAAAATTAAAAAACGATTTTAATCATGATACAATTAAAGAAAACAATATCAAATTGTTTATACAATTTTATGTTTCTCTATCCTTCGTGTGAATAAAATTTCCGTTTACTCACTTTTGCAATTTAACCCTTAACACATTGACTGCTAAATAAACAAAAATTGTGTCACATTGAATTCACATAACACAGATTTGATTCGTCAGTTGGAACTTATGTTACACCTACAGATCCGTTAGACCAAGCGCAGCGTGAGTTAAGTACAACTCACATGGTATCCAATGTGTTAAAGTTGATGCCCGGAGTGCCGTCCATTAGCGTTAACACAATTAGCTGTGTAACCGTCTCCAAAATGCGTCGCCACTACGCATACTAATTAGCAAATTGTTCGAATAATTTCAAACATCCAGCGGTAACAGTGTTTACAACCGTCAATCTGATAAACAAAACTAATGCCTACACATATATTCTGGTAATGTAAATTGTATGCGAATGTAAACAAGCAGAATTTATGAATCTCTGAGCAATTATTTATCGTACATAACATGTACATTTGTAAATTATCCGAGATTATTACTTCGAACTGTGAAATTAAATGAATCGAATACGTCTGCTTAAAAGACAACATAACAATTGCATTGTTATATTTGACATTTATTTTTACTGAATTCGTAAAAATTTAGTTATGAGATGATAAATAATTATTGTTATTTTGAATAGCTCTCTCTATTCTTTGAATAGATCGGTAAGAGAACTAAAAAGTTAAGGTGATCTTGATATTGAGATCACTTTATCATGTTGTTAATATTTAAAAAAATATTTTTGGCAGTTATATTAGACGAATTACACGTTTACGTGTAAGTGTTATTCCGACACAGAAATGAAATGTTTTAAGAGTGCTAGATGAATTATCTAATAAAAGGATAACACTATTAAAAAATCAATCTCTAAATCGTTGATACTACGAGCTCATTTTAATAGTAAGTTTACTCAACAGTGATGTTCTTCTCAGCGTTTCAAAATAAAAATACTCGCGAGTCGCTTAAATTTTTCTGTTCTCTGTATACTTGCATAAAGTTTCATGGAATTCACGTTAGGCACTACAGGCTATCTTTGCGAAAACTAATTAATTAGAACGGGACTGGTGTAACGGTGTAAGTATCAACTGTTTCGTATCACTCGAATAGTTTCGTGGACCCTCGAGAAAGAGCGCAACAAACGCCAGATTCATGAGGAGAGTGAAAGTTTAATGAAAATATTTAACTTCGAATTAAATGCGGACGAAGCGTGAGTGTGCGTACGTGTAAAGAGCTCCTTAACTGAAACTATTTTATCTGATAGAATGATATTCATGGCACTCCGGTTAAAATATTTTCCATTCTATAGGATGTTCATATTGAGTATGCGCACACATTAAAAAATTATTGTAGAATAATTATGGACATTTACACATAGAAAAGGAAATTTACACTTGGCTGGAATAATATATTGAGTGTCCTACAGATTATACATGCAATCTTCTCCATTGTGTTCTAGAGATAGAAATACGATTAAAATATTCTATGTCAAAAAGTCTTATTAAAAGCTTGTAATAAAAATCTGACCCGGGCTCAATTAAATCAAATCAACTTAAATTAAATTAATTTAACTAAATTTTTTATTATGTTCTATACAAAGAACAAAGTTTGCAAATCCATTGATTGCAGAAGGTAATATTGCATATTTGGAACAGTAGATTAGATTGTGTCTACAATAAATTCAATATTTATTTATACGTAAGAATATTGACTGGAATTTATTCAATACCGAGTTTCCCTTCAATGAAAATAAAATTCTTGGGTTCGGCACTTGGGTGCCTCGTGTGAATAAATCCGAACACCTTCAACAATGCTTCCGGCATCACAGAGCGAACTTAACGAAAACAGTCCTACAAGATATCCAATGGAAAATCTTTCACAATGCATTCCATCCTTTGGACGTCGACGGATTGTCATCCTTTTTGATTTTCTTCGATTTCCCTCTGGAATTTTCTTTCACAATAATCCAGAACCACGAAACTAATTTCGACATTGGTTTCCGAAAAAGACCGTCGAGTTGAGTCTTAAAACATTGTCAGTGTAGTAGAAAGGATTTTGAAGTCGGTAATTAATTATTAAACAACTTTTGATAAACCAAAAGTATTACGTTCGAGAGAAATCGTATTTTATTCGAAAGCTAATATTTCAGTTCGTATTAGTTTGTTACGTTATTAATAATTATTAATAGGTTATTGGATTATTATACATCATCGAATGTATGCAATTGAATATTATTTAATTAGGTTAAATAATTCTACTTTATTATAAATATTGATTTCTTTATCTTTATACCCTTTATTTAATCAGTGTGCAATGAACAGGATTATTTTTATTGTATCTGCGATGTATTGAAACGTGCTGAATATCGGTTTCATCTTATAATTGGATTTATAATTAACAATGTATGACTTTGTTGTGTACCACACGAGTTTCGATATTGTTACTGACCATATAATTCATAGAATCAGTCGTTGTCGAATAAAAATTACATCTCATTGATTATTTATGTTACGTAGAGATGAGGATGATAATAGAAATCAGGAATAATTGTGCATATTTAGCAACTTATGCCAATGTTTCTCAAATTAATGTTTTATCATCTCGTTCCGCTGTAATATTTCTCAGATTTTAATATTTTCATCAATGAAATTTTGAAATTCTAATGAAATGATTCTCAAATACAACAGGAGTTTAAACAAATTTGTGCTTAATG